AAATAAAATGCTTAAATTAAAATAGTGATATTTGTGAAATCTGTTCTATTTTCTCAATTTGGCTTATTTTTGGTCTAATGAAGAAAATATTTGTTTCATAGAAAATATTTTCAATTGAAAAAATATATTTTTTCTTAATTATTTGTGCATTTGATTTAATTGAAATGATAAGTAATAAAGGCTGAGTATAAACAAATTAATAAGTTAAAGTTATTTTAAAAATAATATAAATTAATGATCAAATCATGGCTAATATTATTTATACAATAAAAATATTAAATTTTAACTAACTAACATTTATTTACCCAAAATTACGATATTAAAAATATAAAACTAATGAATAATATAAATAATTAGAAAGAACTTAATACGAGGAAGACTACAAAAATGTTTAAAAACAAAAATAATTTTGATAAATTAATTAAAATTAAAGCCCATATTTATTGAAAATTGCATAGATGAACCAGAAATTACTTTATTAAAATTGATCGGAATAATTGGTGAATAATATTAGAAAAAGTATGTATTTATGCCTCTATTCAAATTTTTTTTTTAATAAAAATTTTATAGAGAGGTAGTTTTTAGTTTATAAATTATGTAAAAAAAAAATACTTTAAGATTTAAATTATATTTTCTTTTATGACTGAAAACTTAATTTTCATTTCGTTATTGAAATTAAAAATTTCCCATCTTATTAAATTATTAAACTATTGAATTAATAGTCGAATAGTTATATTTCATAATCAAATCATTTTATTTCCAAACATTATCTTAAGTCTGATTGCTAAATTATCCAAAATTATGTTATTCCAAATACAGAATTTGTGACGTGCAATAGTTAATTTAGTCGTTATCAACCCCACTGGAATTTTGTTTTAAAAAAATTAACTCTTATGATTTTATTGTTTTCATTGATAAAGTAATTAAAATTGTGGTAATAAATGTACAGTTTACTGTTAGGTTAGCAAAAAGCATTTATAATACAGTATTTACATTAAATATTGTAAATACTAAAAATATTGTAAAGTGTTTTTGCATACCTGTTTTGTTATAATAATTAGTTATTTATTATCAAGTATAATTTTGAATACACATTTGAATATTATTTCTTCGTAGTCATATAATAAGACATTATATTATAAGTTATGTTTTTCTAATTATAATTAGAAAAACATAANTGTCATTAATCATTATCAAGTATAATTTTGAATACACATTTGAATATTATTTCTTCGTAGTCATATAATAAGACATTATATTATAAGTTATGTTTTTCTAATTATAATTAGAAAAACATAAATAATACATATAATTATACGTATTATTTCCGGGTTCTAAAATATTACTATATTATAGATTATAAACAGTTCATTAGAGTGTTACATATAAATAAATTTCTTGATATAATAATAAATTAGATGCCAATGAAAATTTGTAGAGGGACGGTGTGGTCGAGACGGTAACGCGGCAGTACTTGGCTTCTACCTCGGGTGGCTTTATTTACCGAGCGAGGAGTCGCCACCCCTTTCTCTGGTGACGGACTAACCACCCGTACTGGAGTATTAGTGGTTAAGAAACCCTACCTTTTGGGGAGGACCTCATGGGCCTTATACATGGGCCATATATTCTAATACACCAACACAAATTTAAATTTACTTCCTTTTATTTGAAATTATATATTATAGTAATACATTATAGCCTATAACTTTATAAAACGATTTTATTAATATTGTGGAATCAATAATAATTAATCAATTATATTCATTAGTCAACGAATTGGTTGGGTTGGGTTTGGTTTGGTTTGATAATAATCAAAAATAATTCAATTTTAACAGTATCAAAGATACTGTTAAAATTGAATTATTATTATATTATTGCAATGACTTCGTCATCAAATGTCAACCGTATACTTATTATATTTTACTGTCGAACCTTTTTAAATTTTGCTGATTTTAATTATTAAATATATCTACCCACAGGGTCCCAAGTCTGGAACGTGGAGCCTAGTTTATAAACTGTTAGCCATTGAATATAGTGATATTTAATTACTTAAGTAATATTAATAATCTGTTGGCATTGAATATTTATAGTGCAGGTTATAATACTATAAACATATAAGCATCAGAAAGTAATAATTTAAATTAGAGCTTTTTAAGGAGAAGATAAAAAAATTTAACACGTACGAAGTACGTCATACGTTATTTTAAAGTAATGTTTAANGTATGTAATAATTTAAACTAAGAATTTACTATTGTTCTATCATTTTACCAACTGTTTTAATGAATTTTTTATATTATCGTTAAATAAAATAAATCGTTTTAAAAAATGATTTATTTAAATTGTTGCTTTTTTTAAGTCTGTAAATTAGAGCTTTTTAAGGAGAAGATAAAAAAATTTAACACGTACGAAGTACGTCATACGTTATTTTAAAGTAATGTTTAATTTCGTCATCAGTATTATTATGAATCATTAAATTGTGCTTATATAAGTAAATAATAAATTTAGGTTACTTTAACATTTTTATTATTTTATTATTAATAATACAATTGTACTTGAACGATATTTTTATAATATCACAATATACATTTAATAACATATTTTTTTAGTTATATTTTATCTAATTTTTAATAATTTACTTATCATGGGAATATAAGTCAAAACAAAATATTATGGATTAACGAGTTTTTTGTATCAATATAATAAACAAATAAAATAAAACAAATGAATGCGCAATAAGAAGTATTGATAGTGTACAGATTATCATATTTATGTGAGCCGGTAGCATTTAACTATATACGATATGATAATATTGTCATATTTTAAAATTAAGTACGACTATTTTCTGACTTACCAACTTTAAACAGGTGTAACTCATTGAAAATCTAATAATATAAAAATAAAATTTAAACAAGCAAATTTTTTTTCAAGTGAATAAATTTGATGACATAAAAAAAATTGAAGTTGATATTTGAAAATTGAAGGTTGATACTAAAGTTTATAGTATAAGGGATGGTAATAAAAAATTATTTTCAGCTTTACGATGAATTCTAATATTTTCCAAGATCTTTTGTAGGGCGTAGTTAAGAAATCACTCTGTACACACTGTAATATTGCAGTAAGTACAGTAAACTTATCATGGTTTACTAAATTAACCTATTGAGACTTTATTTACACATAAACATGTAATGTGCCTACCCATTAATCACATTCAAATCCCAATTGGCCTTTGAGAGTTCATATCGACCAGTTTACAGTATTTCCACTGCAATATTTCGATGCGAATTAAATTTCAACAATAATAAAGACGAGGAAAATTGCTGTAGAAAGTAGAACGTTTTTAATCATAGTTCTTTTTTCATAAAAAACTACTAGCATATTTGAGGGGTTGAACGCAACAGTGGCCTATGCCACCCAACAGTAAATGTGTGTCATTCATCTTATTAACTTCTTACAAGAATATACAATTAATTAATGTTACAATATAAAAAGTGTTGCTAATTGATGTAAAATTTAAAAAACAAAACTAGGCTATTGTTGCATTAAAATATTTTTCATCCTATAACAAAATTATTACATCAACTGAATTTTTAACATTTTGAGGGTTAGGCCACTGTTGCGCTCAACCCCACATCTGTACATTAAATAGAAAACAAATCTGTTTTTTTTTATTTAAAGTACTAGTACAATAAAAAACCTTACTGCAGTTGAAGAGGGTCCAGTACAATAACCGATTATCTTTAAGGTTAGACACAACTTAAATTATGAGACAAACGATATTATTTTACTACAAAACTATTTATAATTGTATGATATTAGCTTATCTGGTAGGTTTATATGCACGACAGAAAATATAAAAACGTGAATTAAAAAAAAAGCGAAAATATCTGGTTATTGCACTGAACTTTTCAATTTAACAAAACTATTTAGCGTCCATCTTATTGGACATCCTTCTGGCCGATAGAATATTCCATAACTAAGAGTATTGTCTCACTATTTTAATTTTTAATTAATCAATTTCTTTTTGTTTGTTGTGTTATCACCTTATTTGTACTTAAGCATAACATTAGTGCTGATTATGTATTGTTTAACACCAAACACATTGTAATTAGCAGTTGCTAATAATAAATATTTTTTTTATTTACGTCTCTAACATAAGTATTCTTTATTTTTTTTTCACAAATCATATTCAATTGGCGCCATCGATGTTTAAAATGTATAATTCATATGCTATTTACTTTAATTTCTATGTGTGTATTAATATTTTGTAATTAAAGCTTTTTGTCAAGGCTAACCCAAAGATAAAAATATGGACGAGGATAAAAAATTTATATTTACCGATTAGACATTTTTTTTTTTTTTTGATTTCTGCGACTTATTTTTAATAGTTATTTTTAGGTAGCATTCTTTTATGTTATTTTATATATTTTAATATCGTACAAATTAGTTGTTGAAATATACAGTAGCGTAGAAATATTTTTTGTGTTAGGGTGGAATGAACACCCTAATTCTCTCCAATACTATAATCCCAGATAATTTACATTAATAATCATAATAAAAATTTGTACTAGCTGATAATAGCCCAACAAAATTAATAAATGAATAAAAATCCGGTCTTGAATCATAAAACTACTTTTCCTTTAACAAAAAAATAGTGGTATTTTTGTATGCAATTTTTATAATTTCATAATTTTTAAATATTAGTTTTATAAATTTCATAAAAACATTTTTTTCATTTACTAGTTAAAAAATAGTTTTAAACTTCATAGTATGGCATTGTGTTACATGGAAAGTATACTACAATTTCTAAAATTTTCCTTAAATATAATTCTTTATATCAAACCTCGATATTGATCATTTATTTTTAAACGTATTTATTATTTAAACGTAAATAATATTAGTTGAAAATTACAATAATTTATCTGTAATAATTATTAAAGTTTAGACATAAATATTTAAGATAGTTAAGAAAAAACAAGACAAGGTTTTTAAGTTATTTAGGTTATCTTTATTTATATATTTTATAAACATAATTAAGTTAAATGCGGACAAAAACCCGAACGGGCGAAAAACCGCATCTGCAAACAAAAGGGAAGCCAAATAAGACAAAAAAATAATCCGACAAAAAAGCACACCTATCACCATAGAGAGAACGCATGAAGCGCTTTTTACTACTTACTTTCGTGCGTGTTGTTGATCCTTCTTCGTCCTAAATGGTTCTTGTTTTCACTTTGATTAGATATTTTGAAACATCAGCTTACTATTTAGATTATTATTATTTATTAGCTTATAACTAACATGTATTATATTTGTATATATTATTGCTAGTGAAATAAAATAAAATTTAATTTTTATTATACTACCTTAAATAAATTATACGACCTTATCTACGTAATTAATGTAATAAATTATCTTTGTCTCATTTCTTATTTTGTTGCTAAACCTTTTTCATTTACGTACTTCTTTTTAAATATTATGTATTTTTAATAAGGTCTGTCGTTGGAAATTAATCCTTATTTTATCAGATCAAACACACACACACACATATATATATATATAATTGATAAACAATAAAACTAAAATCAAAATGCACTTGAAGCTTCTTAAAATTGCAAGCCAAAAATTTTTCATATATTGATTAATCACGTAAAAAAATTGTAAAAAATAAATCATTTAATCAGTTTTATAACAGGTGTTAATATTAGTATGGTAACTTATGGTACTCCGTGTAGATAATTTTATGAATAATAAGCTTATAAACAAATTGTCAAATTGTTTACCAAAAACCCCAAATGCGTTCTGTTAAAAATTTGAAGTGGATATATCTTCATAAAAAATATTTTCAAAAACTAACAACACATGGTGTTTGTAGGTCCAGATAAATAATTTAATTTAAATATATTGACTTACTTCAATAACGAATTACTTTAAATCAATTTATATCTTCCAAGATCAAAAATTGTATCCTGAGTGCATAAATAATTTTTTTATTTTGATTTCTTTAGCTCATACTCTCTCGAAAAAATGCAATATTCCTGTGACTATTAAATATTAATTAAAAGAAAGGAGTGGACTTCGCTATGGAACAGATATTTAAAAGCCGCACTAGGTTTGGAAGGCAACGATGGGGAGTTTTATGACACGGCCATATATGCTTAGAACCAAAACTGTCAACAAAGCAAAAAGATTGTAACTATGTATTACGAACGTGATTCGTGTCAATAATAAAACATTCAAATAGACGTCTATCAAAATGGAAAAAACACCACGCCCCGCAAACATAACTATATATTTTATAAATAAATTTGTCTGTTCAGATGAATGTTAAAATATTTTCTATGATTTAATATGTTACCAAAGTATCCACTCCTTCTTGTTTTTTAATCCAAACTTTATTAAAATACATAATAAAATAATTTTGTGGGTTTACAATAACCTTTAATTGTTAGTTTTTGAATATTTTAATTGTAATTGAATTATTTTTTACACATCTGGGAGATGATGAATATGATAAATTATTAACACTATTAGTATTATATAATTCGAGTGATCATTAAAATTAAAAATAATAATTGTTGCGAAATTAATATTATTTTTTTACTTTTCAAAATCCGAGGTGTATTAATTGTTTGAAAAAGTACCTAAAAATTTAACTTGGCGCATATAGAACCATTGTAGTAAAATTTCTTTTCTCAAAAAATACCGATAAATTTTAGAAAATATTTAGTCTTAAGATTCTGGACATCGCAAACACGGGTATGTTGAATATAATATAATTTTTAATCTTCTCTAATACACGTGTACATAAAATATAATTGTTTTTATTCGTTCTCTTATATCATCTTACATAATTTAATAATTTTTCGAACTATAATAAAATCTGAACAGAAAAAAATTAGAATATGATTATCAATATTTTCACGGGAAAAAACGAAATAAAACCAAAGCTAAAGATCCGAAAACTAAAAATTATGTACTTACCTGATTTTTAGTCACGTTAAAATTACGATATACGTAACTATTTTTTTAATATTCCGCCCAAGAGTAATATTCTAGATCATCATCTGGTTCTGATGAGCTCTTGAAATATTCAAATGCGTCTTCATAATCGTCACTTGAGTCATCAGAAGAAAAAATACCTTATAAAGGTTATTAACTGTATTACTCTCTTTTATCGTTGCAGAATTTTAACCGTATTTTAAAACTGATCGATTTGAGTTTTTTTAAATTACTTGTTAAGAATATTAGCATTTAAATATTTATAAAAGGTGAGCACCGGGTTAGCGTTTAGCGAAGCTCTATTTCATAACATTTGACTTACCCGCATCGTCCGTCTCCATTACGATTTCAAACCTCGTGGACGCAAGAACTCCGGCGTTATGTTCTAGCACCTCGTGGCTAGTCGATGGTTCACAATATTCCAATTTAAAAACAATAAGGCTTGGTTTTTTTACAACGTCCTGTTCACTCTTGTGAGGCGTTTGGCAATCGCCGGCAGCTGAATTGCCTCCGAGTTCTGAGTGAATATTGTTTTCCATAGGACCATTACTGTCGTTTAATTTTTGTTCGCCACCAGATAAAACATCACACTGGATGGGATCACTTAAACTACTAATATTTTCAACAATAGGAGTTTTGTGGGAATCCGAATGTGGCGATTGAAAACGGCCAGTAGTGGAGCCATCGTCATCATGACTGCTAAATGAAGTCGACTTGTAGACATTACATTGTCGAGACATCAATTCCTTTCGAATATCCTCCTGGATTTCACCCAAAATATCACAATTCTCAATAAAATGTTTTAGAGATTTTTCTTGTTTATTTATTTCTGTCGTCTTCACAACGCGCTTAGATTGCAATCTCTCGAGTTTTTCACTAAAACTTTGTATCAAAACGGATAGTACGTCCGTTTCGTTATTATCGTCACTATCTACCCTTTGTACGGTTGCCTTAGGCTTAATAAATTCATCAATTTTTTCAATGACTTTGCTATGTAAATCATTCGGCACTCGAATATTTTCTTCGACATTCCTCGCCGTCGGATTTGACATATTCGTCGGTTCGTTGTTTGGACTTGTTACGCCTGCTGAAGTCTTAAGGCCCTGCAAATAATTACCTACAAGTTGTCTTAAGTGTTTTAAGTTATACATACGCACAGTTTGCTTTTTTGGGTTCGGCTTTTTGCTTTTTGGCGAACTCTGTAAAGTAGTATGGGAAGGACGAATTTCCGAAACTCGTGTATTTTTATGCGAAGAACGTTTTGCAATAGATACAACATTTTCTCTGTAAGTTTGAATTAGCGCTGGAACCCTAGAGGAGCTTTTTTTCACAACCTATAAAATAATAAAATGTCGATGACGTATAGCTACTGTGCGTTTCAATTTGTATGCATGTGTCAAATATTGTTCACTGCTTACAGTTCTCAAGGATTGAAACTTCTTTAACAGACTTCTGACATGTCCACTTTTGTTCGGATTCGACATGACTATAGATTGCTAATCACACGCGTAAATTTCAATTAATGAAAAATTCACTTCGAAGGTCGAGATAGTAATAACTAAGTTATTCAAAGTAAATATTTATTTTCACTTGGCGTGTTCATAGTTTTAAAAATAAACAATTTTTTTTAGCCTGAATTATGCTTTTAATTAATTTTTTATAAAGTTATAATATTGAACGTAAGAGTACTACTATTTTTTATTCTCATATTACGTGTAAATCATATAAGCGAATGAGCATTTCTACTCAAATTATAAAAATTTGTATACAATTTAAAAGTATACTATTCATGAAATGAATAATAATAATTTTGAAAAGTTCGAAATTAGCAACTGAGCAATTAATTAAAAGAAAAACTGAATTATGTACTTTGTAAGAGACTATTAGAATTTATTAAAATATGCGTGTTTCTGTTACACTATTAAATTTTGATGTTAAAAGTATCAACGTTTTTTAAAAGACTGTTTTTCATAAAGATTAATATACAAATTTAATCCTATAGTCAATACTATCGAGGCTTAAAGTGACAAAGTAGCATAGAGAAAACTGTGTACCCTTAACTATTTTGTACGTTCCATATATCAAAATGTCAACATTACTCATGTCACATTTAACAATAGGTACATTATATGTTGCTGAACATTGTGCAAATATGTTCAACAATCAGTTGAGAGAAATTTTTGACAGAAATGATAAAAGGGACACTTTTTAAATGGTATTAAACACAATATCCTCAGTTCGAAATACTGAACATATTAAATTACAGAGTGATTCTTATAACATTAGTCACTCGAATGTCTCTTAAAATAATAATTATTTTAAGAAAATTAATTTTGGTACTTTTAATTTCATATGAACTTTGAATAATCAGTTATTAACGACTATTTTAATCATGTACTATAACTTAGAAGAGTGTGTTGAACTCTATTTTGTTAAATGACAACATACGTATTTAAATAGCTTATAAAATAAAAAACCCATTTTCAAGAATTCAATTTTGCTATTCTTTGATTTATATTACAACAAAAAAATATTTTCATGTAGTATTAAAATAGAATTAAATATATATATATAATCTTATCCACAATTGACACTACACCTATACTAGGCTGGTCCTTATTTTTCAACTTTATAATAAATTGTGCGGCACCCCCTAATTTTGTTTATTTTTAGATAATAATGATTTTTGTTGAGTTTCGTAAGATTTACTTACCCCCTTCGGGTGCCGAATGAGGGTTGAAAATCCACTGAATAGGGTGGTTTTTTAGTTTTCGGCTAATATCTCAACAACAAAAGCTCAAAACGAAAAGTTGTATAGAATAAAAATTATAGACCTTAATATTTTCTATATAAATTGTATCTTTACAAATTCTCGTAGGTTGATTTTTTTCCTCGCCAGGACAAAAACAAAAAAATA